ACCCATCCATCCATCCACCCATCCATCCATCCATCCACCCACCCACCCACCCATCCATCCATCCGTTCACGTATGTACGTATCTGCTATCGACAGGATGACCTTCAGAAAGCACGTGAGACGGAGCAGAAGCTCAAGGAGACCCAGTCTGAGGAGATGAAGGAAGTGGAGAGCTACGTGGAGCACATACGTCACCTGTCTGACGAGAGGGAGGCACTCATACAGGTACAGGGCACCTGGGGGGTGGTTAATCAATTAATTAATTAATCCATCCTAGCATGTGAAGACTGGTTTCCCGGCGGATGAAGCAGATGAGATCAACGGAAGATCCAACGGTTTTGAAGGCAGTACCTGCAAGTGCCGTGGAGCGCATAAGGGCATGGACAAGGCACAAAAGAAGTTCTGGCCATCCACTGCAGCCTGGCAGTCTCCAGACGTAACGGTCTCCATGCCACTGGGTAAAGGCTTCCTAGGCCGAGAGAGTGGGACTGCCACCGTGCAACGACAGCTTTACTTTAAACAAAGTCATGCACAGGTTCATCCTACAGCTCGTCACCATATCCACAGATGAGCAGCAGGATTCATCGCCATCTTCGGCAACGAAGAACTACCTATACAATTAATCCATCTATCCATCCATCCATCCATCCTTCCTTTCATGTATGTATGCATCTGCTGGCGACAGGATGATCTATAGAAAGCCTGGGAGACGGAGAGGGAGGCTCTCATACAGGTAGCGGGCAACTGGGGGCGTGTATCTTGTTAGTATGTCACTGTGCTGACAATATGAGTTACTTCGCTCAGTCCACAAATAGAGATCTCATCATCTTCATCCAGTGCCAGATCTGCGTCAGACATCGGCGATCATGGTTCTCTTTTCATTCCTTTGCTCGTAGGCTCTTAAAAAAAGCTACGTTTCCCTGATCTTTCCTTGTTACTCATTTGTTTAGGTTCCCTTAGTAGGTTGCTCTGGGCCTACCCCTGCCTCGTTTGCCCTCAATTTTGCCAGTGAGAGCTAGATGTTCAAGAC